GGACGTGAAAATGATTATAAAGTGAAAGGGGAAGATTGAGCGAATGCGAAGAAATTTAATTTCATCATTGTGAGATTGCGCGTTAATATGAAGTCAATATAAAAAAAAAATTAATGCAGCTTCCAATACCTCGTGTGTGAAAAACACACCAACGTGTGTGAGTGTGAAAAATAAATAATTATCGGAATGCGCGTCATATTCATCGAATTCGTAATTCCGGAAAAAGAGAAAATATGCGGACGCGCAATGAAAAAGTGCTGATAATTTGAATCCCTTTTCAATTTAAACTCCCAAACTCCGCCACTATTCCCCGTAATTCTGGCGCGTGTGTATTCAAAATATTTTTTTTTTTATCAACTACAATCTCGTACTCTTTTATGGAGTCGCGACTCGCTGCAGGAGCGACTCGTTATTACGCGTGTCCCGGGTGCATCGTTGCGCGATCAATGCGAGCGCTCCGCTCGAGATGCACATAAATCGTTACCGGTGCATGTAAACACACACATACACACACGTATAGCAGCAGCCAGACAGACCGAACTTGCTCACGTGTACATATGCGGAAGTATATTTGCGCATACAGCACATCTCTCGCCGTCGCAAACCGGAACTACTTGAAATCGTCCGAGCAGGTACTTCGTAAAAGCCACACATTGGCGTTTTGGCACAGTTTCATTCTCTGCCGAAAGGATGGAGTAAAAGTGGAAAAAGCGGAAATGGGTCGTTCGCAACTGCCGTTCGTTAAATGCCTGATTGACCATCAGCTCTGGGAGGTTTTCAGAACGAGAATCTCACTGCAGGCGCTTATTATAAATCGGTGTAATTTAGTACAAAAATTTACTTCGTCATGTAATCAGTGGACATTGATGAATCAACTTTCACTTATCGCGTTTTATTAAACGTGCTCCGTAATTTTAAATAAAGACTGCCGCGAGAGACATTTCGATTTCGTATAAAGTTCCTAAATTCCTTGAATTACGATTTTCGCAATTCTCTTTTCGCTTTCGAAGCGATTTCGTTCGTTCGAGTTGGTTCCAAGGAAAGATTTGTGTCCGCCCTCGGTTATCTATGCAATTCCAGCGTGGTCGCGATAAGTGCTCTCAGATTTACAGTTTAATGCACGATCGTCTTGCCCCGCGCTCGCGTTTGCTCCTCCACTCGGCTCTAATTACTTCGGACCGAGGCTTCGGCCTTAATTGAAATACCGAGTCCTTGCTAACGTTCGCCGCTCGGGCCGAGAGAGCTGTCGAGCTGCCAGGCGTCGGTGTGAAGTATCGGTGCAAAATATTCAATCTTGTAACAGTCAGCGCGATTACCGCTCTCGAGAGGTTCATTCTTCAACTTGGTGTTCTTGCAAATCGCGATCACGTCAAAGTCAGAAAAGCAAATTCTCTCCGAGCACTTTGGTAAATTCTCTTTCAATACTTTACTGATTGTACTCTTGGCATTCGAAGCATTGAGTCGTTAATTGCAGGTTTTGTGTTTATATTAAGATAGCGAAACGGGTACAAGGAACATTAAGCTGATAAAATAGTAAAATTATTATTAAATTAATTATATTATGAACGACACTTCTGAAATAATTATTTCGTCTCAAGACTGTCCTGTTTTATAGTCGGAAATAGAAATTTTTGAATGATGAAACCGTCGCATCATAAATATCAATCTTAAAAAGATATAGAGATTCAGGCAATCCGCATGGTCGTCGCCGATCGTGTAATTTTCCGCAGACGAACCGCTTTCTTACGCTCCTCTCTTCGCATCCGTCACGAAAATATGAATTCACGAAATCTACTCCCTGATATAAAAGAATATCCCTGCCTACCCTCCGTCTTCTTCCGACCCGTTCGTCTTTGCGGCCACTACCCTCTTTATCCTCCGCTCGTCGCATGCGGAGAAACGCGAATCCCGGACGGCGTTTCTCATAAAGTCGCGAGCTGGCGCGTAATCGCGGGTATATTAAAGTGCGAGGAGATCAGCGCGGGCGAAGATTTCCGCGAAATAAGGAGAATTCCGTCAGTGAACACCTACATATAAGTACGCCGCCGCATATAAGTACGATGCGAGGGCGTTAAAGGAAAATTTCTGTGCATTCGCAAGTGACATCTCGAAAATGATGTGTTCCTGCAAAGTTGCGGTTGCAAAATTTTTTATGGAGTTAGCCCTATTTTTTCGAAAAAAAATAACAAGAATTTTGCATGTCCCCTAAAGAGTTTTAAAATCAACGGCGAACTCTAGAATTCTTCACCGAGAAGATTTATTTATAATATTAAAACCAAATCATTTAAAATTATGAACCATTTGCTGCAAAAAGGAAAAAAGTAACTATTCAGTTTTTACTTACATTTTTTCAAGTTTTGTGATACTCTAGCTCAATAAATTTTATTATTATATAGTATAGCACTCTGAATATATTTATTATTTTTATCGAATGATTAAATAAAAGAATCTCTGCTTTCATTCGTCGCTTTCTTTTTTACCGTAATATTATACTATAAGAATAATGTCTGCGAGATTTCAGTCCGCACTTAGGTAAACGTATGCGATATAAGCACGGCTGATCGTTCCGTGCAAGGTACAGAAATAGCGGTCGATGGATAGGAAGATTGTAGGTTATTTCCCTGGCATAATGTCAGCAGTCGTGTCATGTGCTTATTTCTTTGTCCGACAGCGTTTAGACATTTAGATAATGATGCAGCCGGTCGCGTCAGTGCGATATCGCGCGCGTAACATTCGCGGAAATGATTGACTGTAATTTCTATCGCCCGACATCGATTCTGAGAATCTTAGATCACCAGTGACGATAGGAAGAAACTTTGATGATCTATGTTGGCGATTCATTATTGTCGCTTCTACGAGAACGGGTGACACGGACAAGAGAAATATGTAAGTGGCGTACGAATTTTCTCGGTTTCTTCGCCCATGTCGGAATTGACGTTTGTCTTCTTCAACGTTTCCGCGAGCAGCGGAAGCGCGCGATCGGTTAGCCGGTGAAAGATGACAATGTGAAACTGCGGAAGTCCCCGACTCTTGCGGAAAACTTCCCGACCGAGACAAAACCAAGTCTGAATCGCTCGTTCGCGCTGGCGAGCGTCGCGCGAGCTACGAAGAAATATAAATCGAAAAACGATAGAAACCATTTTTTTAAATGGACGTATATAAGCGTCGAGAGGAAAGACTTCCATTACATAGAATTACATTTTTTTTACGCCCCTCTCATGTCGTGCACTTTAGTCTCGCGGCTTGCGAGAGCAGTAAACGCTTTACGTCGATGCCCGCCGTACTCCGCAGTAATTATTCGCCGCGCATCAAGGTGAAAGAATTGTAAGAAGGATAATAAAACCCCCTGGAATGAAGAACGTCGCAGCCAAAGAATAAGATGTAAGTCGGGCGGGAGAAATGGCACGTCGCTTTTTATTGCCGGCATTTGTCGGTACGGTATAAAAAAAAATCTCCTCGAGGCGACGGTAAAAGGAATGTGCGGTTTTTAAAAATGCAGCGCATGATAAACTTTACATCGAAGTTTGCTCAGCAAGCTATTTGTGCAGCGATTAAATCTCACATTTTTTCGGTTCAATTATTTGGAAATCAGTTTCTCAATTATTGCAGCTCAGATACGGCATAATGCTATAATCGTTTGATGCCACGCGATTATTTATACACGAGAGACGTTACAGGATATTAAAACGCGAGTGGAACATAAACCTATTTACGACGCATTCGCGTAGTAAGGTCTCGCGCCCGATCGCACGCCGTTAATGCCAGAAAAAAGAAATTCTTTCTCCCCTTCGCTTCCCTTCCGCTCCACGTCATCTTAATATCGTGATATCTAAGTAAAAGAATTCATCGCGAGCAGCTGTCGCGTCGGTACCGCGACATTATTCTTGAGACCTTTCTAAGTGAGAATATTAATCGTTGAGAAAATACGCTTGACCGAATTTCTTCGGGATGAATGAAGGGAACAGCCGTATATCAACGTAATCATATCCCCTCGAACGCCCGTTGTTCGAGTAATAACAAATTTTTAAGCAACAATATTTATCGTTGGAGTAACACTTTATTAAAACGACAACGATAAACGTAATGAATATTCAGGTAGACGCGAAAACTCGCCATCGTTTACTCACTTGCGTAACTCCACGCAATTTACAGCCAATTTAAGAAAATGGTTTCCGTCGTAATCAAGGAAATTCTTTTTAAACCATCCCCACCGCGCCACCCCACAATGGAAGCGAAGTAAGAAATTTATCTTCTCTCGGCAAACAACGAATGTTTGGACATGCTTTAGCTTCGCGGAACAAGTGGACGAAGGAAAAAAATAGAAAAAAAACCTCGGATAGGCGTTTTCTGGGCCGATTCTTCCGTGTGCTTCGGCAGAGTGGTAAACACTTTAGCGTGCTCCCGCGAATGTGTCCGGCAAACACGTTCCAATAAACACTTTTATCCCGGCTTTTAACGATGAATCGTATTCTCGGCGGCACTGGGGCGCGAATAACCGAACCGAGTCTCTCGTACATGTGAACGAGCGATTAAAAGCGATACGTTACGTCGCGCGAACTCGCCCGCACGAATGCTTTAATGAGAGTACCTGGGGGTGCACCTATATTGACATTCCGCTGTACGTATACAACCACCGGGAAGGTGGTGCCACCGCGCAGACCCAAGTATGGAGCGGCTCGCCGCCGCTCATGACATTTATTTACGTGCACACGCGGCTGTGCAAAAGTTTGCGATTATTATGTTACGCATTGCTCCGATAATTATAACGGTTTTCATGAACTGCAAAATTTTTTTCGTCGACCGGCAAATGTTCTTTTTCCCGAGCGATATAAACGTTTTAATAATATTCTTCAAAATTCGCAGAGCGAGAAAGAGAGTGAAATCTATTTGAGATATTTTTTGCAAGTTTTTACCACCTTTTCCGGTTGACCATTTTAAATCGTTATTTCATATTCTCCTCTTTCTCCTCTGCGCGAATAACAGCAGATGGACAGACTTACCAATCTCGCGTCACCTTCGCGACGAACTGCTTTTGATTCTCCCTATCGATTAGCAGGGAGCGATCATCGGTGGCACGAACGACTGAATGGCAAACAAGGCGGGTCTCGTTTCGGTCGAGGATCGTGAGGTTGTAAGGCGACGCCAGGAGCCGAGAAGCCATTCGATCCAAAGCCACCCACGATTTACCGGCCACCACCCAGGACGGATACGTGCAACGCTGCGGTGGATTTTCTGTAACGTGAAAAGATGGCCGTGTGGAGAGAGGATCCCGCTGTTTGTCGTCGAGATTCTCCCCACGGAACGGAAACTTCATGCGCGCGCGCGCGCATATTCATGATATTTTCCTTTCCTCGGTTAAAAAACTGAATCAAAATTTGCGAAAAGTTTTCTCATTGAAAACACTTCTCTAAATATTTATCAAGAGGTATAGAAATTAAACTTTAAGAGGGCAAAGAAATCGCGTTACAATTTAATAGCGGGATGAAAGAAAATCAAGTGATTTAATTTAATTAACAATTATTTTAATTAACAGTTATTATTAAACAGAGCTTCAGGGAATTTTGTCTTTTATTGGTGTTTGCAATTATCAAAAATATTTCGCTATTTTCAAAGCTGCACCGGTACAGAGCAAAGTAAATTAACGCTGCAACGTCAACACTTTAATTTCTGCAATTTTCATCTTCACGTTGAGAATTCGGACGACTGTTAAATTCAAATGTAATTACGTGTCAAGAAATAGCCGCGGCTTTATTCTTAGGACGCTGTAACTCCGCTCCTAACGCAGTTATTTCAAACTCGAAATGCATAATATAACTGTAAACTTGTTCCCGACTCTTTAAGTTCACGGGGGTCCTCGAGCAGATAATCCGGCATAAGTAAACTTTGACCTTTCTTCCTCCTACGTCGTAAACTTCGTTTCCCGGCATGCCGGTTGTTTCCATGCATATTATCTCACACGCCCCCGTCAAAGAGTTTCGGAAAAAACTCAAAATCGAACGACATTCAATGTTCATTTTCCGAATTCTGCACTAATTACTGCGCGTTTTTGACGGCGTCGTAATATTCGTAACTAGCGTAATTACACCGAGTGCGAGTAACATACGTCATATGTGAACGTGATGTATATTAACCAACTCATTAGCTTCATTAACATACACTATGCGTTACAACGCATAATTCATGTATACGCTGCATTGTCATCGTTGCGATAATGATTCGGAATTGTTCTCGTTATTACTTCGATAAAATATTACACATTATTTGCAAAAAGGGAACATTGTCAAAATTATATCAATCGAATAATGCGTGTATTTCGAGAGTGCAAAAATTATTAAAAAGTCGCGACGCACAAGATGTTACGTAAAAATTGCGACGATACTTCTGGGATTATCGCGTGTTGGCAAGAGCGTTACGTTGACGCAAATAATTTGCTATAAATGTGCGACAGCACTGTCGCCGGTGAGCAGTTATCCTGTCAATGCTCGGCTGCTCACGGCCATCAATCACCGTGCACCGTGAATTAATGGACCGTTAAAAATGCACGAGCGACAAAGTATGCTGCGTGCATACTACATATGCGACCGGGCTGCGTGCAACTAAAAGCTAATCGATAATTCAATCGGGTGTGTGCGTGCGCTGTAACACTATAGCTCGCCGAAATTGCACTGCTTATCGTAGGTAACGTCGCTGATGATAAGAGCGAAGCACAACAACGGCGATAAAGAAACGACGGGATTCGCGTAATTGTTTCATTATGCGATCTACGTTCCCGCGATATAATTATTTTCTTATGCGCACATTTTTCCGCGATATACGGAAAAATTGCGCTGGTTTGTACGCGATTAAAATTTCTTTTCTTGCGCCGAGAGATTTTTCATACTTTCGGTCATTTGCATTCACACTATACGCTATTAATAACACAATCGTTTTAAATTATCGACGGACTTTTAAATTTGCGTTTTCTTCCATAAACTTGTCAGCTTTTTCAGAAAACGGTAATGAATGAAAATATTTTGATACGTTCGATTTTACGTCACGAGCTTCGATTTTGTGTCGCTTAAGCATTTGATAAACAATGATGACAATTATCACAGTTACGCCAATAGTTTCAAAGTCAAGTAACTCTTCAAAACGGATCTTCTTTAAAGCTTTGCCTGAATTTTACGACGTAAGAGTGCGCTGTATGTAACAAAATGCCTATTAAAATGAGTCACGCCCGCGGCTGAGAAGAAACGTATGCTTTGTTCAAAGTAAATTACGCCCGTCCTCTTATCTTTCTTTGCAGTCAGACCGCATGTAATGCGTTACCTTGAAAAGATTGTAATTCCGCAGCGTGTTCCGGCAGCGGTTATTTGAAAACTACAGCCTCAATCTAAAGCGGAAATAGCATCTCGTAAAAAGCGCTGCGATCTTCTCGCATTGGTATTTAATGTGATTATTCATATCAAAATCAATTATACTTGCTGAATCGCTCGAATCGCTTTATTAAGAGAATATTTCATATTTTAATATTTACTTTTAGATCCACGATTATATTCTAATATTTCATAGATATGTATATGCGCTTACTGCACAAAGCTATTCTCCATTCTTCGCATAACTGTATTTCTTACCATGCATATTTGTTTCGGCTTTCTGCTTCTTCCTCTAACTATCATATTTCTCGAGCAAATCATAACGCATGGCAATCTTTTGAAGTAACGCAAACTACAGTAAAACTAGCGGTTTTGGTTTAATCTTGGTGAAACAAATAAAAATGTATTTTGATGAAAATTATCATTGAATGATATTTTGTTTAGTTATTATCAATATTATTATATTTACATACATTTCTTAAGCGCCGATTACAAATGTATGAAAATGTATGAAACCAATACAATAAAAGAATGAGAAGGAAAAGAGAATTTACACATCGGCCAAGTAGAATTTATATATATATATATATTGGCGTCGGCTTCACAACGCGAATAACGCTCTCCTTCATCCACGGACGGGCACTTCGAGGCGGGAAGCCCGGCGTAGCTCGAGATCCCGGGGCTAATCTGCCTCCTGGAAAGTTTAAATGGAAACGCGGAACCGGGGTAGGGGGTTAACGAAACATCCGCGACGCCGTGGCGAGGGCGCCGCTGAAAAATTTTTAAGCTGCTTAACGCTCGAGTTGAATTTGCTCGAGTAGCGCGGCCGCGATCTCGAAATATTAAGCGGCAGTTTTGTCATTCCTCGATAACACGGCCTGTCGATATGTAACAGAGTGTGTAATAAACGAATAATACACTGTTGTCGATAATAATGAGATAATGATAACAATAAACAATCGAAATACGAAATGCGCATGAAAATTATGCCGAGGAAAAATCGAAAGAACGGATAAAATTGAAATCCATTTGATGGCTGTATGATAATCGGGTCCGCAGCAGAGGTCTCCATTTTTCATAACTCAACCGTATCGATCTACCCGGCGCGTACATCGTGTCGTTTGACCGACGATCAAACTGGCAGCGCCTCGTCCCGCCGCCCTCAATTTGGTTAACCGTGAATCCTGCGACAAGATCGTCCCGACCCGGCAAGGCTACGTGTAGCTATGCGATGCCGTGGAATACCCGAAGTACCAGGCGTTGACCACCGGCCGGGGCCACGATAGTATGCCGGACAAGAATCCGATCTGGTGTCCGCAGGCACTCTCATAGTTTACGTGTTCTCGTTCTCAAGGACCGCGGCCTGCCGCGCGCACAGCAGTTTCCGCCCGGTCGGGATGTACGCGCCTATCCGCCGCCGTCGCCTCGTCGCCATTGATTAACAGCCTCCGCAGAATGTCAATCGTTAACTCGATCTTCCGTGTCGCGGTGGACACCGTAACGACCGGCCAGCGTGCGCGACGAGATCGATTAGCGATATTCCGATATTTATAACGATATAAAAAAAATTATTCAACTTTACGCGCTTATCTTTTTTAATTTGCAACAGTTAAATCTTTACGCGAAATCAATATATCTTATCGATATTAAAGTGGTTTTTAATATGTAGATCGCAAAATTTTATAGAAAATTATAAATTGCTAAATTATACATTTTTTGTTAATTTTCTCTGAACTTTCGCAGAGCGATCTAAGAAGATCGTAAAAAAAAAAGAAACGAGAGTACTTACTTTGCGTCATTTTGAACGTTCTGGCAGCTTCGTTGACGCTGATCAATCCGTTGCAGGCGGCGTCCGAACTCTGCGCAAGATACCACGTGTTGTTCGATGGATTTGTGTAAATAAAGCATCTGTAGCTCTCTTCGTCGTTTATTTTACGATCGTTACGATCGCTGTACAAACGCGCGACCATGTAATTTGTGCTGCCCTCCCTCCAATGAGCCAGACACTCCAATTCTACGTCTAGAAAAACAAACCGTTGCAACTGCAAATTGGCATGTATCCAATAATAACTATTGTTTTTTTTTTCGTTTTTATTTTATCAAAATACGCGCGGCTGCCGACGAGCGTGTTGCTGTCAGCACATATGTTTACAGGACGGAAAACATAAACTGTAATACGTTAAAGCACCAGGTGACGATGCATGCGCGCGCGCGCGCGCGCGCGGCGTAGTGTATCAAATCGAATGAAAATTCGGTCGGTGATTCCCGTCTATATACGAGCCTATTAGTAACAGAGTCGTAAATAGAAGTTTATTGCCATTGTGCTCGCCGGATAAAGCTATCTGCAGAAGTTATAAACGAGCGTAAGCGATATATGAATGTTCATGAAAACGCATTATACCGGGGCTCCGCCGCATGCGACCGACCAGGACACGTCGCGTTGTAGTACAATGCGCTTTCGCGCGTGTGGAACCGTGTATTCATTTATCCGCGCGCGTATCGAGATAGATCGAGAGAGCACGGACCGATGATAATTGCGCAAAATCGTTTGGACAAGCCCAGCAACAAATGGTAATTGACAAGGCCATTAATCATTCATTCCGAAGCCGCGAGCTTTATTGACCGTTACAGGCCTTGCGCGTCGTGTTAATTAATGTCAAACCGGATGTTAACGTCACCGCGGAAGCGTCGCGACGATCATAATTCCTTTTTACATTCCGAAGTGCTCCGTGTGGCGAGACACTTATTTCGCGTGCAACTCAATCGTACGATGATTTCGTTACCGGCAACAACAATCAGTCTTCGATATTTTCCGCTTGTGACACAATCGAGGCTTTCTTTTTTTTTCGGCCGTGCTATATTGTGTTTCCTTCAATAAGTTCATTGTGATGGAAAATCAATGGAAAATTAAAAACGGTTTAAATATTCAAACTCCATGAAAACGGGAATGAAAATTCGATGACAACACAGGTACGAATTGAAAGTTTATATCCACAATGTGTATTCCAAAATTTGCATTAATATATTGAGGGTACTCTGCGAGCGCTTTATAATTGTAGATTGCAGCGATACGAATTAATTATGGACCAATAACAAAATGTCACTAGACAGTGATTGGACTCGCATGTTGCATAATTCATAATTGTTTAGGTATTCATTTGACAAATTGTGAGCGTATGTAAACAGATATAACACAATTGCCGTGTAAATGGATATTACACAATGCATGTTGGTGTAACAATATCGTTTTACACACGGGGTATACATTGTACAGTATCAAAGAAATTCATGAAAAAAGAAAAAACAAGAATAATCAATTTATAAATTTTCAAATTATTCATATTATATTAAAAAAGGTAAATTAATATTCCGATATCTGGCTTGAAATAAAGACTTTATTCGTAATTTTCTTTTTTTTTTTTATTAAGAATCAAGTGGATGATTATCTCTGCCAGAAATATATTTTTTCATGGTTCTTAAATATTAACATTTGAGTCATGAATTTTCATTAAAAAATGATCAAAAAAAATTTCATAGATTAAGCGAGCAAGCCGTCCGTGAAAAATAATTTCGCCATGTGTTAGCAAAGTATTACGGTGCTAAAAGAATACTGACCTACGCTTTCAGACGAATGAACGTTGGCACACGCTTGATAGCGCAAAAGCAGACGCGAGTCCTGCGTGCACGCTTCCGCTCGTGACCGCGGCCAATTGCACTCGCCCTCATTCACGCTATACGTGAACTCCAACGGGCCCTTAATGGGACAGGGCAGCTGCGCTGCATTGTTGCGAAACAGAGAGATCAGAATGGCGTCGCTGGTCAACGTGCTGCATTTTGCTGACAGACTCTCTTCCCCGGGCGTGCAAAAAGCTAATAACAGTAGCGAAAGGTAATGTTGCAATATTATTTTTTGTAAATGTGATAATGAGGATGACAAGATATTTGTCACTTATTCTAAGATCGGAATAAAATTCCAAGTAAAATTACAGTATAAAAAGATAACCACTGAAATAATAGCAAAGTGATGGTTAAAACACAAAGATATAAAAATAGATAAAATAGATATTTGTTCCGTTCTGGAAATTAAATTTCTTCTAAGAACAATAAGAAACGCAATTACGTTAAAAGGAAAAAGACGCAAAAAGTAAAAATCGCAGAAAAATGCGAGATATTTTGTGAAAATAAAAACGTAAAATTATTACGGAGATTTAATGAATCATAAGTTTTTTTTACGACACTCCGAATGAAGAAGCGTGATGCTAAACATCTCTTAATGATATAAAACAGATTTTTGTTGCAAAATCTCACAAATTAATGACATTCATAACTTACTTTCTTTATACTGCAGCACGTTGGCGTGTTGCGCATGCATCACAATGCACCGGTAGCAACTATACTTCCTGCAACACAAACGGGAAAAAACATTTTAAATGTTATATATTATTCAGCGTATATGGCTTTTGTGCTTAAAGAGCTGCAGCTCGCTACATACGCAATTTTTCAAATCTCAATTTTCATATAAACTGCTGCCCGCAATCAAAATATTTTTTTTATTTTTGATGCCTGGTAAACTTCATTCATTCGCATAATTTGTGTCAAAATGAGCAAAGATAAAATCTGCAATACATCATTAGCCCGGTTTTGCAATCCGCTCTTTCATTAAACAAATTCACTGAAAGTGCGCTTGAAAGAAGCCTCGCTTTTCAACAACATTAAAAAAAAAAAAAACCTACGAGAACCATATTAACCAAATATAGTTCAATCGGACGAGAATGATCATTGTGGAAGACCAATGAGTCGTTGATCAGATGTTAAATAAGGTTTATACTTTATAATCGTTGCATGTAAAAAGAGTTGATTTCATAAAATTACAAAAAAAGCATATTTTACTCAATGTAATAACTTCGAGCGACTTGTTTCAAACGCAGATTGCGGGGTCGTGCTTACGCTCCGCTGTCGCTCCTCACCGTGGACTGTATTTACGTTGATTTCCACTCTGGAAAAAGGTATAAACTATCGCGCGGACCGCCTATTTGAATATCGCGTAAATTTACAAACCAAATACCGAAGTAATTTCTGTTGCGCGCGGCAGCGAGCAGCGCTCGCAAATTTCACCATCGGCGCGCGCGCGCTCACGCTCGCGCTTGCCATCGCCGTCGAGCCGAACGCACGGTGCTTTCGCCGATTATCGCCCTTTTCAAAATGCACCGCTAAAGCGGATTAATATCGTTACAACCCGTTGGCCTTGCCGCGGTGTATATAGTAGCAGATGCACCGGCGGCGCAGCGGCGATAGTAGCCGGAAACTATATCGGACTGACAGCCAGGAACAAAGGTAAACTTCGACTTAAGCCACCGTGAGAGGGGTGGGGGGGAGGAGAGGAGGAAAGGGATAACGAGGAGTGGAAAGGAGTGAACCGAGTGAACTAGCGAGGGAAACAGAGAGGCGGCGGGGAGGGAACAACGGAGAAGCTGCGAGAGAAGGTAAGTTGCAGACCCGAGCTAAGTAAGCAAGGTGCCAACTAGTAAGGACACAAGACAAGCTCCGAAAGTTTTAAGTAGCTACGCGATACTACTCGTTGGACTCCTGTATATCTCTCCCTCTCCCTTTCTCTTTCGCGCTATTTCACCGACGTCACTATTACGCCTTACGTTTGTCACCGCGCTTATATAGAGATGCTCCTCGCGCGCGCGCGTCAGCATCTCGTCCCGTGTGTCGTCAATCTTCGGCGAAATCCAACTCACTTCGCGATAACGATCCAATAGAGAGTTAGGGAGGGATCGATTCCGACCGAAGCGGACCTCTGCGGGAACCGTCTAATGGGTTAAGTCGTCGATGCAATCTCCATCGCCGCGGAAACGCGTAAACGTTTCGCGCGAACTCGCGCCGGGCGTGATCCGCAATCCGAAAGTTGGCAAGTTTGTTTGAACGTCGACGCCAAGCTCGCGTCACCCAAAATGGTTTTCGGCATTCGAACATTGTCCCGTGATCGTAATCGATTATCCGCAACGTGAAAGAGAGAGGTACGACAGTCTGGAAACGCTGTCAGTTCGCAGTTAAATGCGGATGCCATTGTCTGGTGAGCGAAACGCTTTTGTCGATGAAAATCGTCCCGTCGAAATCGTTTCGCTTTAAGTTCTCCGCGTGGGCGTTTCTCCCTTTTAACGACTTTCGCGCGGACGTTTCTCGCGCGATGATCGACCTCCGTTTCCCGCAATTATAAATTTCGCTTCCTTCTTGCCGACTCCTCAAAGACGCGTATAATACATCGTTCCTGCTTGCTCTCCAAATACTCGATAGTACTCAAACGCGATGTTCCACCTGTGCGCAAGTTTCTCTTTCTTTGACAAGTTGTTTTTCTTTGATGAGCGCGGCGATCGTATTGCCATCGTCAATACGGCGATGGAAATTTGCTGATTTTTAAGTGCTCGCGATTTTCAATATTCGTCGAAAATTGCTATTTAGTTATTAAAATATTCAACGTTAAATATGAGAGAGCGATTTTAAAAGCTTTTAAGAGATTGTAACGAGTAATGTACTCCTTCGAGTGAAATTAAGCTAGGATGTCAGGCGTATGTTAACGACGGCGTATGTACGTGATGTGTTCGCCATAAACCGTCTTGATTCCTCCGCGCTCCATTGGTCACGCCGTTCGTTCTCCGCCGGACGTATTTACTTAACCGTTAAGCCGGATGGTTTACGTTAAGTCGAGTATTCGCATTTTAACGAGAGAGCCGCCGTTAAAGTCACCCTTCGCCGACTCTCGACAATTCTCTGATGCTTCATCGCTCGATGAACTTTGCACTAATAACGCGCGACGAGACGAGACGGGACGAAATGAGAGATTGTTTCGCGTTCTTGTCGTGATTGCATCGCCCCTCCGCCGTGTATGTATGTCTGCGCATAAATTTATCATGGTCTTCGCATTATGCGTGAGTTATTAATGACATGAGTTATTCACGCGAAAATTATTTCCGAACGTAGCAATTTTAAATACGATATCGATCTCGCCGTATATCGTGTAATCACATAATCGCATGTATCACGTGACCCAGGAATAAAGAATTTCCATGGAAGCTTATTAATTCGTCTGATACTATTGTTATCCCGCGTTGCATAACAAGTAACTCGATATATTAATTTATAACATCGATTTCTGCACGCTTGCGGAGATTTTTCTGCACAAATGTAAACCTGCGTCGCTGTATAATCCGAATCGCGTTTTGCTCGTATCTTAATCCGATCGCATCTGCCGGCGGATATTTTAGAATACAAATTCGTAATCTTCTATTTTCGCATGTTGACATCTTGTGTGAATGTCCGTATGGTGTAATCCATGCTCTATTCGGTTTCGCTCATATCGGATTATTACGAACCACTGATATTGCAACATAATAATTAGTTTTTATCTTGTTATTTTGCGTAGATAAAAATGCAAAGTTTCGAGAACGATACTATTCCGTCCGAATTTCATATAAAAACTTCTTCAAGCCTGTTTTATATTTTGCAATAAAAATCTATTTAAATTTTAAGTAGTAAAAAACATTTATAGAATAAAAGATTAATATCTACACATACAAGATACATATTAATTTTTTTTAATCCTGCATTAAGCGATATATAAAATTATAAATAAAATTCTATCTCAAATTTTATAGCGATTTATACATCGTCTCAAATAAGTTTCAAATAAAGACTTAAAAACTGATTGAAAAGAATATTTGGATGATTCAAATGTTTCGATTCGAAACAAAAAAAAAAGGGGGAGGTACGCTAATGCATTATAATTACGCACAAAAAGCGACGATAAAAATACGGCAAAGGCGTTTCGTTGAAAGCATATTGAGGTCCAAATTGCCGATCACAGAACAATGATACTGTTTGCATTGTCTAATAGCTGGATAGCGTGCGAAGGGCACTAAGCTACCCTCAGTTTTATCTTTCCTCTCTCTCTCTCTCTCTCTCTCTCCCTCCTCTTTCGTACGGCATCTGACACCGTCTCGCTCACCTAAACCCGTGTTTCCCGGGACATGGTTTATTGATTTCTCTAGTGCGTAAATACGTGGCATGGTACTCGGCGCGCTAATGACGCCCATGAGAGACGCGTCGCGACGCGTACGCGAGCGTACCGTGGCCGAAAGTGACGTTTTCATAAATTATCATTCGGCTGCAGCGTTCACGTCTAGTGCGGCGAACTTTTTGACCGCGCTGTTGCGATCATTATCCGCGAATTGTCCGCAGAGGTGGGAAACCAAGCCGCAAACCAACTCTGGGAACCGGTCGAGAATCCCATTTGCGAACTATTTAAAACTAATGTCGGGATTTCGAAAATTAGATGCTGCAAAATTCAATATCTTCAAATCCGTTTTCAATTCACATCCATTTTCTTCCATTTGTGATTATGAATTATGCAAACTCGTAAATTGATAAAATCAAAAATAAATTTTTCACGTTTTTTATTTTGGCAGTCGTATGCTGATTATTTTGACTGCAGTTCGCTAATGTGTGACCCGCGAAAATCGACTTACGATTTTCTGCAATATGTCATATCTCGCAGCATGTTTTTCAATACGCATCGGCTTGCAAAACGAAATAGAGTTAGTAACACGAACACAACAGGGCTATGGAGTAATAGGGGTCGGATCTGCGGTGCATAAACACTGAGGAGATTCTTCGTTGTAAGGTGAACTGCACACAGCGCGCAGCGAAAATGAACTGCGCGCGAAACAAAAGCAATCTGTTCATACATTATCGCCTCGCGGTATCAGCAATGAGATCTTTTAAATGGGTTATACCGTGGCGTTAACCGGCGGTACCATGTAATTTTCACGCAACACATTATCTAGTGGTTATATTATCTCTCTTCTCTCTCGTCCTTGCATCGGTAATACCCATCGTCGCATGGGGCGATACGCCCCTTCGCGATATGATTATGGTTCGATGAACATATAATTAAATCTGCTTATCGTAAACATAATTTAATTACATTTACTTACATTATAATTAAGCCACACATATCTCTTTTGTAAATTCAAGCCGCGAAAGGTAATTCTTTAATTTACGATCGCGGCTGCTTACAATTTTGCAAAATACCTAATTCATCGCGTTTTTTTTTTTTTTTTTAAGCGTGCGAACACGAAAGCGTAAATCAACGCTTGCAATTTAGCGTTGGTAAATATTAGTTTACTAAATTTAATGCAATGTTTTAACAAATTTTTCGTGAAAATACTCGTATTTCCGTCAGATCCAACTTGCCCGTTCACACGTGAAAACAACATTGTTTTGAACAATCACGCGGGCGTACGCAAATTTATTGCGGAAGACGGATTACGAACATTATCGACAAGGGTGGTTCGATCGTTATATGCGGTGTTATTGTGATTGTTATACACACATCGCT